GGCGGCGCCCGCGCATGACCCGCCGCGCCTCGCGCCCAGGCGCGCAAACATTTTCATTTCCCGTTCGGCGTCAGGGCGGGCCGCGGAAGAGAGAGGACACGCACGGGCGACGCAGGCGCGCGCATCGTGGCGACTGATGAAGCTACGGGTCTCGCGCAGCAGTCGTTTCCACGATGGCGCGAGTGCATTTTACTGCGTCCCTCCCCAGCGCGCCCGAAGCATTTGGCCGTTGTTGTTTTCTGGGGGGGTGCGACGTGTCCTCCGCTCGGGGTCGGGCCCGTGGAACGTCGTCGCGACGCGCGACCCGACGGGCGCAATCGCCGCGCGTAGTTTTTTTTCGGGGGGGGCATTTCCACGGGATCACGCAGTGAACGAGCCGTTCGTCGCAGCAGTTGCACGCGCGTTGTGCGACGCGCGACGGCGCGGGCGGCGGCGCGACAGCGTCGCGCGCGCGCGCCCCCCGGCGCTGCGACGCGTCCACTGACGGGGCATGTCGCGCAGATCGGCGCCGCGGCGTTCGTCGACGGCGCAGGAGACGGCGGCGGTGGAGGAGTGGGAGGGCGTCATCGAGGAGGACATCGCGCAATACAGGCACGTCGCGGAGGGGGGCGGACAGGCGCGGGAGTTCCGAGCACGCAAGCAAGAGAGCGCCCCTTACCCGCATCCCCACGGCCGCGGGGCATACTATTGAGCGCCAGCTGATGACTGGGAAGGAGGGGCACGCGGGGGAAGGTCGCGCCTGCCGCCGGGCATCTTGGAGCTAGCGTCTCCGCCGACCCCCCTCGCCGGCAGGAGGTCGCAATCCGCGGGGCCGCCGCGGGGCGGGCCTGGCTCGCTGCGCGGGTCTCCTGGAACAGCGACGCATCCTCTCAAGTTCGCACTCGCGCAATTTCGATGGGCATCTTCTCTTGGCGGCGCTAGGCGGGGTCGCAGAGTTCGCGGGCAGGGCGGGGCCCCTCAGCGCGAGCGACATTCGCCGATTACACAGCGCGCGCGTTGAAATTGGGAGGGCGACGCTCAAGGGGGCGCGCGAGACAGAGGGGGCACATGTCACACACATGTCGGGCTTCGAGGTTCTCAAATGTTTGCGGGCTACGAGTTCCTGGTTTGAGCTTCGCGCTTGACGACCCTCACGGTTGCAGGCAATCGCGACATGTCTGCGCGCGCGAGTACCGGTCAACGCACGCGGCGTACAAATAGTAGGTGATTCTGTTTTTGCAACCGGATGGGTCGCTGAGACCCAGCGCCAATCCGCGGGCGAAACAGCGGCGGGGGGATGCGCGGGCGGCGCGGGCGACGGGTGCGGGGCATGACCTGCGCGAACAAGACCAATCTGACTTTCGTCGCCCTCTGTTCGAGGTGGCCAAAGACTTTGGACGCATTGATCTTCGAGAGTCGCGCGCGCCATCTGCGCGCGCGCAGGGGCGCGCCCGTGGGCGAGCGCGACGGCTGGCGCGCGCGCGACTTCTCAAGATGAGGAACGACCGCGCCCGCGCACATAGCTGAGCATACATCGATGGGCGCCAATGCGCAGCGCGACGCAGTGCGCTGCGCTTGCGCGCCTCAGCGCTCACAGAGCACATGCGACGGGAGGGGGGCATGGGATTGGGGACATTGCCCACCGGCTCACAGTCGCGAGGGCATGCCCCACATATACTCGACAGTCTTCGTGAACACCAACGCGGCAAAGGCGCGCGGCATCACCAGCATGTAGAACAGAGGATGTACAGCGGACGTGAGTTCTTGGTCATGCGCGCATCTTGAATGCGACCCCATCCAGTGCCCATTGGGACTCGAGTTCTTATGAGGCCACCCTGGAGCTGGTCGGGCATTGCAGAGGGCATCTCAAACCTTCCTCTGGCGGACTATCATTTCGAGAATCCTGTTCTGTAGAGTTCGGGGGGCAGGGGCGAAGCGGCCGAGGGCGGGGGGCAGGGGGGGCGAGGTGCGGAGGGCGCGAGCACCAAGAGCGCCGACCAGTTAGGCAAGATGCGCAGTCGACTTTTGGCGCAGCTGGAGGCGCGCATCAGAGCAGTCGGGAAGGATTGCGCGCTCACTCTCATTCTGCAGCAGGACACCCAGTGGCGCCATCACTAGTATCTCGACAGTGCGGAGGAGGAGCAGGGACAGGACAGCATGGAGGTATCGAAGCGGGCTTCTAGTTTTTGTTACGCAGTACTCGCTCGCGGATATTGAAATGACATCGCCGCAAAAGGCGCCGACAAGGCTCCGCATCACGATCGAATCGAGCAGGGTAGCGGAGGGCATCACGTGGGCCGCATCGTGCGCAATGATACCCATGCACAGCAACGATACCAAGAAGCAAGTACGGTTGTATCTCAACATTATTGGACGTATTCCGTTGACGAACATTGTAGAGGAGGGGGAACGGTCACTTCGGACCAGCAGGCCGCTCAGTCTCAGGGGCACTGGGAAGTTGTGCAGTTCAGTCCACTGGAAAGTTCCACACACATGTACGTCGGCAAACTAGTGCAGATCAGCGCCCTCATGGCCAGATTGCTTCGGAACGCCGGAGAGCAACGGCAGCTGGGACGGGCAACGTGGCCAGGCAGATCAACGGCACGGACAAGAGCAAGAGCACGAGCGACGACAAGGAGGGCCAGTGAACGGCAGGGGCAATCGCAAGGGCAGAGGTAGGGCGCAGAGTAAACAGAGTCAGGTTTGTAGATAAGGGGCGCGGGAAGACCAAGTGGTCTCACACTGCGCCGCCGCCGTAGGACTGTTGGCCCGAGTTGCGGGGGCTGACGCGCCCGCGACCGCCCGCGTCAGGAGCGGGCTTTGTCGCCAAGTATGTTCCTGCCGACTTGCATGGTTTCAGTTGTAGCAGCACGAGAGCCCGCATGGAGCAAGGCGCATGCACAGGCACCCCAGAGTCCAGAGCGGGAGGGGTCATCACAAGGAGGGGGAAAACGAACAGGAGGAGGAGGAGGAGGAGGAGGAGGGAGGAGGAGAGAGGAGGAG